GACCGATCGCATCGCAGTAAGTTATCGATGGTATCGTTCACCACCGAGCTGTAGGTTGTATCAGACCACCTGCATTGAATCCGATCACGCGGTAATCGTGATGCAGTTTACTACGACGCACTAGTCACATACAAGCCTACCCAACTAGCTTGGTAGATCTTCATTCATCTGACCCAGCCGTTCGTGCCCCTTTTGAACCAGAGCAAGAGCTAAGGGCAATGCAACGTGATAGTGTCGTTGACCCATTTGATCAGGTCTAAACGGCAACGCAATCCGCACCGAGGGTGTGGTTAAAAGTTCTTCAACGAACAGTTCAGACTATCTCGTCTGTCATAGCTGAGGCTTCGTCGACAGTGTCATGTGAAGCTTCTACTGAAGCAGATGTGCGATCTTGCATCCAAGCCCTGGAGAAAGGAAAAGCAGCAGGACCTGACGGGCTTCGTCCCACTCTTTTCAAGGGAGGAGGGTGGACAATAACATCGTGGATTCCATTACTGATTTAATGCGTCACATCTGGTCAGAAAGGGCGCGTTCCGTCATCCTGGGGCGAATCACTGGTTGTTTCAATTTTTGCGAGAGGATCTCGCCACATCTACGTAGACCACCATGGAATACGTTTGGTCCCAATCGTCACGAAGTTATTGGCCTCCATCATACTTCTATGTCTGACACCGTCTAGGGAGACAAATATCCGCGAACACCAAGTAGAATTTCGACTAGGGTTGCGGTTGTGTCGACCGACTCTTTACCCCGCAGCAAGTCCTCGAACTACACCATACACATCGTCGGCCAACAATCGTAGTGTTCCTTGACCTTAGAAGAGCGTTCGATTCAGTGAACCGTGGAGCCCCAATGGGGTCACTGCTCCGTCAAGGAATGCCGTGGAAATATGGTAACATACTCTGATCCCTGCGCCTGCATACTTCTAGTTTCGTAAGGGTCCCCTGAATCAATGTCGTCGTAGACGGTCTGCTGGAGAATACACTCAGGAATCTCCAAAATGTATCCCTCCCACGTACTTGGTGTACTTTGTGAGTTGGCAGTGTTCATGCAAGTTTGCTTCACTGTATCTCGCTGTGCTGTCTATGCAGATAATAATGTTGAAGATTCATTTCCTTTTTTTTTCGGGGAACAAGAACCTGACGCCATAAGACAAATCCAGTAGAAAATGACAATTACGTTGTATGTCTGCAATCGACTTATAGTGTGTTTAGTGCATTCGCGGAAAAAATGACACGTTTACCTTGTTGGATCTCGTCAACAGTGCGAATCTATCGACCCAAGAGTGGATCAAACCTGGAACCCTACAAGTGAAACAAGCTTGATCATCAATTAACCACCTCGCAGCTTATCATACTTTCATTCAGTGTGTACTCCATAGGCTTGGTTTGGGCATTTGACCTCACTCCTATTATGACTTACCTCCAATGTTATAACTTGATCGTTATCTTATCCGAATCATCACGCTGGTAAAAATCGTTGTATAGTTGTAGTAGACAGGCTGGCAAGTGAAGCTAACCACATTTGAACTCAAAGTTTGCTTTGCGTATGGATAGATACATTTATCAACTTTGGTCTATATCTTAAAACCTATTTAGTTTTTAAAATTGCACAGACCTGAATGTAACTAATAATCATGGGATGGTCCATTAAATCCGTGTATCCATTTGGCTACTTTGGTCGTAGAAGTCTGTCGCTTCTACTCTTGTGTAGATTTTCATCTTGTTTCCTCAAGTCTTCGTATTTGAGTGTAACTCGAGTTTTGCTTGATGTGTTGTACAAGGCGCTTTTGGGATGTGTTCAGTATGTAGTTAGTCGTCGCTGTTCTCATTATTGGACCTGGATCGTTCACTTAACTATCAATTTGAGGTCTTACTCAAGGAATCATACTCTGTTAGTTGGCCTTATAGTCTTTGTTTCTTTTTTTCAGGTCTGCGGCCTCATATCCAGGGTCTGCTTCAGATACTGCAAGCCTATGATAGTTTCTTTGCTACTCTGGCAAGAGCGCGGTCGGTAAGGTTTACCGTTTTACTTGTAGTTGATGGGGTTGTTGGCGAAATATCGTAAATACAATTTTCCTTATTCTACTGACTTTGGAAGAACTTTCCCTTATTTCAGAGATCCGTTGTTTGAGTGAGTAGATTACATAATTGTTGAAGTTCTTCGCATTCATTCATCCAACTCTCACCTAATACTGACATGTGTAAAGTTTTGCGCTATCCAGATCGTGTAGGCTAACCGTCCCTCATCGACTCAGTATACATTCTACCGAGTTTAATCCGTTGAATTTCTATTAGAACGCTGCTTCCATCGTGACTACCACTCATAGGTTACAGAACTTATTTGAATCCTTTCAAAGATATCCTCGCCGGATCGGTTGGATCAGTGGTCGTTCTCACCCATGTTCAAGGAATCCCCTCCTGAAACGGGCGATGTACCTCTTTATTGCGCTACTGAATCGTTGTCCTGGTTGTGCAACCTATTTAGTTGGTTATTGCGAATATCTCCACGACCGGGTAAGTTCTTAATAAAATGTTACTGTCTTGCGGACAGACTTCTTTTCGATTATTTATCGACTGGCTAATTCATTACATTCAATGTCGCATCATTTTGTGTACAAAATCAATGGGTAGTTTGAGGTAGAAGAATTGTTTTCCTATTTGTCTCACACACTCTAACCGATCACGTTTAGACCATGTTACTCGTGTGCTTCGGAGTGTGTGAAAGGCCGTATGGAACCGAGTGATTCCGACCGTCTCGGTAGTGTACAACCTCACCCCCTTCTTTGGGCGTCAAAAAACGGTTTGGTAACTCACTTATCCGCTCACCCCACCTCATGTGAGCAACCCGGTCTAAGCAGAAACATGATCGCGCGATCAAACACTTTCAGTTTGTTGAACTTAGCTAACAGGACATTCGCCATATAATCTTGATTTTTTGCGCAAAATAGTGCGATAGAAACGTTGGTGTATTAGCCAGTTGTCCAATCGACGAAAGCAAGCTTGTTCGAAAACAACGTTTTCTTTCAACGTTTGTTAATCATATACTTCGGTTACATACTGTCAGCAATTCATCGATTCGTGTCTCATGCCAATCACGATCATCTGCTGTCACGCACTTATCCCTTCCAGTTACATGTCTTTAAAGCCATGAAATAAAATTGTTGAAAACACCGACAGAATTACGAAATAGATTAACTGAACATTGCGCTCAAGCTAATTTATATTTAAGTTTCAGAAATGAAACTCATGAAATATAAATCTTCCTAAGTAGTGAACAATATGAATACCTTTCCATTCACCAGAGATATTTGCAATCGGGTTCAGATAGTCACTAATAGCTGCTCTATCCATGGTCTTGGTGTCGTGTTTTACAATCACAATGGGATAAGTTTTACATATATATTTGTCTGTCCAATAGCAGTATCTTTTGATTTTCATAGACCAATAATATTGCTCAGATTTGAGAGAACATAAATGTCACCTGTATTTAATGTTGGTTTATTTTTGTCTGAAAGCTTTTGTATAACTTTTTAAAGCTTGATCACGATAAAATACAGTGACTGTATATATTCATCGAAGTGTAAAGTACTCATTTGATGCTTACCATACTGTTTCCAAGCCGTTAGCTGTTGGCGTTCAAGATTTTTGTTGTTTGTTGATCATCTCTGGCTTTTCATGATTAGCGCCATACTGTCACAGCATATCATTATTTATGCACCTTCAAGGTGCATTCTCTAATGTTGGAAAGCTGTCATTCCTCACTCCTATTACGAATACTTTCTTTGAATGAATTCGTTCTCTATCATTGTTTCTTCTGTCCCCCAGGTAGTTTCCCTGATCTGTTGAAAAACGATTTCGATTTACTGGAAAACCCTACAAAACACATCCCTAAATGTTTTGGTATCATTAGAAACAAACTGTTAAACTCTATCATTGTTAGATACGTAAATGGGCATGGAAATTTTATTGCCGAAATACGCGCAGACACTTCTCATCTAATACACAACTGAACTTTATAAAATCGTTATCGATATCGTCGAAATGCTTAAAGTTCAAACTTTAATTTGCTCATATTTAGTATATTGTATTTGGGTTTTTGTCATACCTAGCAGATCTGTTTGTTCTTAAGGGGAGCGGTTTCACATAATTACATAGTTGTTTGTTTATTTGAAAGCATCATTTGACTTGTTTTCGTTTAATTGTGTCTGATTCCGCAAATTGGAAATTCACCAACACGCTGAAAACACTATATCAATGGCATAGATCCACTACTGATTTCACTGGACTTCAATATCACCGATGATCATTTGCGCCAGCGGATGTTGTGCAACGTTACTCCTGCTCTCGCAGTTATCACCTTTATATGTTGGCTAAGCTGAAGAAATCCGCTCGCTGATTGCCATTATTTGCTTTGTTTGCGGACTCTGATCGTTGGTAAACGTAACTTCGTGGAGACCGTACCGAAGACGTTTCCTGTGTGTAAATTTGTCCCGAATTTGGGGCTATGGAATAAGCTTAGCAAACGATTCCATGTTTGGTATGTCCCGAAATCTCGAGTTACCGTTTTTGATGATCAACATGGTCGTACTTCCGCACCAGGTCATAGTTTAGTCACATTTTATCTTCCTTCAACTACCAACTGCTTTGACAAATGTCGCCAGCCGAGAAATTCTATCCGACGAAATACGTACTATTCTAGGATAAATAGGTTCGTTGCTCATGCGAACGTATGGTATACCAATAAAATCTGGGTTTCAGTTCTAGTATTTGAAGTTGCGAATCAAATAAAAGCTCTTTTAAAAAGGTGCTGTTGTACATTGTGATAGATGTATCACTGAATTCTCTCGATATCGTCATAGGTTCACATTTTCCTAAGATTGAGCCAAATTAAATATACTAGATGACCATTTATTCCGTGTTTGTAGAGAACGGAAAATCGGTCTCATCACCCACACCTACAACAAACAATAACCGTTCCGTTCTACTGGAGCGTTTGGCGTATGCCGCAATGGAAGTCGCTTCCATGTGGGCCACACAGTACGGTATACGATTGCAAGCCGCGGTTCCTCTACTTAGCGGTCTGCAGCGCTTGGTATTTTATAAAGCAAAACGTGACTTATGGACTGAGGACAACGAATCGGTAAGTTTCTCTTTGTCAACAATCGTAACCTTTCATTCTAAGCAATGCACATCTGAATCCACTGCATGTATAGTGATTTACTCAACGTCGAAAGACAGGCTTGATTCGATTTCATAATTCAAATGAATTTGATGTGCTTCCACTCAGTTGTGAGCTTGCATTCATTAAAATATGCACACAGAAGCCCATGGAAACGGATCATCGCGATGAAGAGAAGCGTTCTAATACCTTATTCACTGCGTCCTTAGAATGGTTGTAACCATAACTCAAGTGCCAGTATCTGACCGTAGTCATTTGCTTTAGCGCATTAGTCAATTTTTTAAAACTTACTCAACCCAAAAAATGATCTACGGCGTGTTAAAGAGCACCATAGGGACATGGTATATAATAGTGACGATAGTTGAACCCCTTAAATACTGGATGCTTGGCCTCAATTATGCAATGTGAAGCGTTAATCGAACTTACTCAGTAACCAAAATCCGTCTTGAATTGCTTCCCGTTGACTGATTTGACGTGTTCAATGGTAGTTTTGTTATGTAACGAGTTTTTAATATTTTTTTCCGAAGACGTTTGTCACTTGGGGAAGAAATACTTATAAGACTCCAGTCGATGGTATCTGTGTTCAGGTACGATTATCAGACCGTTGTGCCAGAGACTGATATTGTTTCATCACCTCCGTTACTTTGCGTACTTTTGCAAAATATTTTATTAGCTGTTGAATGGAATGTAAATGCAAACCATTATCAGTTGTGTCTGCTTTGTTCTGATTCATATAACCTGTCAACCGGAAGCCATGATAGTCATTACTTTGATAAAATAGATCAACTTTTTGGTTTTGTTTCAATTTTTCGCTCTTCCAGGGTAACCAACTTATTCGTTTTGCTTTCAGGGTCCGGGTGATAGTTCCACACTCCTAAGTCCACTGAATTTATCACAAAGCTATCGTGAACGTTGGTCTGTTCTATGTACACGGTGGATTGTCGCCACTCTGGAAAGTGCTTTGAATCCTACTGAAGGGAAGTACTTGGACCAAATGCTTGTGCTTGGTCTAGCATTGGCGGCCCCTATAGACGATGCAACAAACGTAGTACGCTCAGTGGTAGCGTCTAGTTCGGAGGCTCCAAAGAAGGTCATGGTATGTTCATTCCAGCTGTGCAAAATAATATAATGGTTGTATTATTATTATTATAGATCTCTTCGTTTGTACTCATTTGTCGTTCACTTATTGCCTAGGCCATTGCAAGCGTCATGTATGTGTTCGCTCTCGTTGACCCGGACCGTGGATCGGAATTCCTCAATCTCAGCAACTCAATGGCCAAACTATGGGGCTGGAAGATTTCTCTGAAACCGTATGGTGTAAGTTTCTCTGTGAGAAGAACATTTTAATCTATATGTGAACAACGGTATAGATTTTTATTTGCAACTAGTTTTGCTTCATATCGTTTTTTCCTATATCTTAAAATGCTGAAGAATTCTCATCACTTTTCAGACTGTCTAGCAGATTGTGGCCCTCAGGTTTTTAGGGAATGAGAACAACTGAGAAACTAACCGCAGTTTTTGTTTCTATTGCTTATCTGGTAATGTATCATTTTATTCACCATCGACGCGAGATTCTCTATTCGTTCTGTGCCCTTAGCTAAACTTATCCCACTTGGTAGCTCGTGGTGGTGATAAAGCTTCCTTCGCAGTGGTCCTCAATAAATTGTGTCGCATAGTGCCTTCTCCTAAAAACTGTGGTGCAACACCTACAGGAATTCTCCTTCCGAGCGACGCAAATTACTCAGATGACCTTTGTCCACTGAAAATGAATAGTAGTTCCAGTAACGTGCGCCTCTTGCCACCGATTCGTACGATTGTGAACTTCGCTTCTGATTTTCAACTCCCGCTGAGACCAGCTCTGTTGAGTCATTTGACCGCACTCTTTGTGTCATTATCGGAAAGTTCATTGCCTCCGGTGACCGAGCAGACAGTTCCTTCATTCGACTTCACGGATCCAATCACCTTTGGTGATCCTACTTCACATGTATTTTGTTCCAAACCAATGGAATCCGATCTGAATAATCCGGACTTTTGGTGAGTTCATTGCTTCCTCCCCATGTGTCTCGTGAAATTTGATTACTTTAGAGAGCTCTTTCCACCGTTCCATTGTATTTTCTCTGTATTTTATATCCACACATAGGTTTCCGTTTCTATAATGTGTTCTATTTTGTATAACATTTCTACTTTTCCGTTTCCTTCTTGCAACTTCGAGTGAACCACATGCGTTAAGTCCAAAAAATTATCTGTTGTTGATCCAATATTATTGTCGTTTCATCTGATAGTATGTGGCTCTTCGAGTTCATATATATATATATATATATCCCCTGTCCCATAAATGCCCTCTCTATTTTCCATATCTTCGTTTTATTTTCAGTGCTTATAATCAAATTCTGCTAAGTCGAGCTAACTTCCTTTTGAAACGCATAACAGCCCTTGATGGGCACAAACCGTCCACGGAAGTACTCGCGTTATTACAAGGTTTCTTCAACAAAACGTCTCCGTATGATTACGGCCGCCTACAATTTATATTAGCATGGATTTCATTTTGTTCGCCGGAATCCTCGGAACCTCAGGTTAGTAAGTGATGTGTGTTTTTATCTTTTAGCCGACTATTTTTTTGTGGGAATATCAGTTCG